TGCGTCATCGATGCCGTCCGTTGTTAAGTATTTTTTATTTTTGATATACGCGCGCGCGCATCATCGTAACTTGCCGACGTGATAGCTATCAACGATATAAAACGACCTAATGCTTTAAGTGATGAAAAAAAAGAAAGTTTATGCATTTTATTTTATATTTCAGTAAAATGTTTTGCTTAAACAGAGAAAAAACGCAATAACTAATATTTTCTTGAAATATAAAATGAGAAATTAAAGAATTTAAAATTTTTTTTTATATGAAGATCTTATATCAAGAAGTATAAATTGTTAATAAATTTATCTGTATGTTTGAGTATTATGCGTAATTAATTGCACTTGTAATAATAGAGAAAAAACAAATAATTAATGATTATTTCAACAATAACATCTTTAGGTTCTTTATATGTCGTCGTTTTATGTCGAATGAAATATTAATGTTCAAGTGTAAAATGTGTAAACAGTTTTTTAAAAAAGTGGAAAGAGGTGCCACGTGCACGCGTCAGATGTAAGTTTCGAGATTCGCACACGTTTAAAAAATTATGTATTTTCTTTCAAAGGTACTAATGCAAAAAATATGAAGAAATCTCGCGTACGATTATTAGTTTATGAAGCACTTCTTTTTTTTTTTTTAATTGGTTATATTCATATAATTTGGCTCGATCCAAGATACGATTTAATTGAGAGGTTAGCGATGACCAACCGTCGAAATGATCGGTGCGAGTACTCAATGGAACCTTGAAATATTGATTTGCTCATTGAAGCTGATTTAATCGGCAATCCAGCATAGAGTCCTCATCCGTTAGAGTTCATAAACACCGATCGGCGTTGAAATGCACTTTTATCCACAGCTGGAAACGAGCACTTTTTTTCTCGTGGATACATTATGTAACATTTTTGATAATATTGCATAATTAAATATAGCGGCATAACATTATCCAAGATTAAACGCTTATAAGATGAAGCATCGAATCGTAAATGTGTCGCTTGTGTTTAATGTATACGTTAGATAAGGATAACAAGTTAGACAATGCGTATTTTGCAAAGCGACAGGGGATTTATAATCGAGATTAATGAGACAAGATGTGGATATAAGCTGCGTAAAATACGTTCATAATCACAACATGAAAACAAAAACGACGTTTCCTTTATGCTTCACCCGCTAGAAAAAAAAGCTCCATAAAAATTTAATCAATTTAATTCCATAAAAGAAATTGTGTCCAACAGTGAAGATTGTGGATATTCCAAAGCAACAAGTATACATGGATATGAAAAATGCAGCTGCTTGAAAAAGGATCGTTTTATTAACGTTGGTAACATTCTAACCAATTTGATTTATCACATTCGCCGTGTCCACTCGTCGCTTGATCAAATATTTTCAAATAGCAATTCATTCACGTAATTAAAGGCTTCTAGTTAAATGGACAAACGGGCGATATTCTCCTAACTGTTAATTGTATCCGTATGTGCACGGAACGATCGCATGCAAGCGAGGAATTGAGTAAATAACGAACACGTAATAATTCACAATTTATGAATGTAAGAGTGTGAATTTAATATAAATTTTGCGTCACGGAACATATTCGGTCGTTCGAATTTCGTGCGCACTTCGCGGATGGCTTGAGGGTTAACTAACTCCGATTAGTAACGTGATTTTATTACATCGCTGTTCCAATTATAACGTATGTAATAACGACGAGAAAGAACATCAATGAACTCTGATGACGTGCACATGTGTAAAGACTATTTTATTATTTCTTTATTAATGGATTAATTTTGAGTAACTCTATATATAACGTCAAATGAACAAATTTATAATTCATCAGGAAATTTTGTTCACAATTAAATCATAGGAATTTTATTCACATCACAAATTGCGTTTGATATTAAGAATTGATATTAAAAATAAATTCGTTAATTTAGTTGATGATGAGAATTTAATTAATAACATTATTAAGTCGCGCGCGTATACTTTAATATACTATAATATACTATTCGCTGTTGAAATATAGTCACGTTGTAATCCGTCCATACATAGAGCTTCTTATGCGAGAAATTGAACTTGGAGAGACTAGGTGACTATAGCGCGTCTACTTGATACTGTAAATATTTATACGCATTGTAAAGCGTGTGCCATTAGGATCGTGTATCGCTGTTGCAGAACATACGTACCGTACAGATGGTACGAAGTTAACATTGCGCGATCCGAAATAAACTTATACATTACCTACTTACAAATTTATAATAGCTGAAAAGCACGCGATTATAGTGAAATACTATTATAATAAATATTTAATAATAATATATAATATAATAGTAACAAATTCTTGCAACGATTTATTGAAATCCAGCTAAACGATAATATCGTATTTTTACGTGAATATATTGAAATTGTAATATTTTTTTTGATGTACTGTAAATAATTTTATAAATAAAAAACTTTATAAAATTTTATATAATTCATTACTAGCCTTGGCACAAAAAATTTTGAAGTTTTTTTAAACATAAAAATAATTTTAAAAAACGTGATATCTACAAATATACAAATATTTTTTACTGGCCAATTTTTTCAATTATTATTCACGTTCAACTCCAAAATGACTTATTCTTCTGTGCCCCGATAGGTTAAAAATAAATATATACTTACATTGAATCATGAGATTAAGGAAGAAAATGAAATTTCGAACGAACATCGAATAATCAGGAGGAATTGAGAGGAACGTAAAGTGCTATTAAAATTCCGTTTTCCGCATGATTGGATAAAAACTCTTTTTATACAAAGTTTGAATCGTGATTGTTGAGTCTCATGAAAAAAATGTGTTCTTTTAGCACCGAGAAATCATGAAACTTAATATAGCCTACCTTGAAGAATATAGAAAGAGAGAGAGAGAGAGAGAATGTGTGTGTGTGTCTTTAGACGATGAAATCATTTCGAGAAGCCCAAGTTTTGCCATAAGAATTAATCGATGGCTATTATCATCTATATATAGAGGCTTCATCTTGCATTAACGTAGATTAGGGTAGCTAACATATAGGACGAAGAGAGGCATTCGTGAACCTTTCCTTACCACTTATCTCTGCTTTATTGTTCGTTCCAGACACTTCGACGCACGGTGAATGAGCTATTAAATTTTAGAAGAGCTTAACTCTTAATAACCGTATTTACGTGAAAGGATGCCCGCGCTAATTAACGAGCCCAATGGTAGAGACAGAAATAGATTACTTACATTACTACGTGATATAAATATTAATATTGCAAAAGCTCTGCAGTCGATTAATGTTAAAATAATCAAAGGGTTCAACTGAAAAAGAAAAAATTATAAGAAACTATATAAATTATATAAAGCATGATTAATATTATATATTACACAACTAGATCATTTTATTTACTATAAAATAATTTTCTGGATATTAAATTTTGTTTTTTAATAGTGTAAAATTGCAATTCTCTTGCTTTTTCTTTCTTTCATAATTTTTTTTCTTATAAAGTTGACGAAATTTAGATTTTAGAACAAAATTTGTACAATTAATATTTATGTTCTTTTCACTCTGTTACTAATGATATATTTAAATTTACATCTTTGTATAGTTTACGTAAATAATATGTGTCAATTTTATTTTATTTATCGAAAAAATGGGAATTTCAAAATTGTCATGAAATGCAAATATAATCCGTAACTGATTGGTATACAACCACTCATAATCTTGTTACTATGCACGATGCTATAAGTATCGCGTTACGTATTAGCAACTGCACTTAATTTGAGCCACTTGGGTGACGTTAAAATTATTTTGGCAAAGTTGACGACGATTACGCGAACTCTTCCTTGGGACATAAATCGCTCGTGCAATTACTGTTCCACCGAGAATTCGCGAAAGGAAAATTACATTGTGCTCTACAGCTATAATGTGTCAAATTTCGTCTCATAATATTGAGTGTAATATCTATTTTAGTTTTTATTAGTACCGATCTTAAAACTTTATAAATATACTTATTTGCTTTATTACGCTTTTGAGGCTTTTAATTATTAGTACCGATCTTAAAACTTTATAAATATACTTATTTGCTTTATTACGCTTTTGAGGCTTTCAAGGGTATTTTTTTCGATTATACCAGAAGGTTTGCGGGTTATCGCCGTGTCTTTCTTCATTATTAATACTTCAAATTAATACTTCAAATTAATTATTTGCTTTATTATATTTAATTGATGTGTCAAATTGATTATATTATACATATACATGTATTATATGCTTGAGCTAAGATGAGATTTGCGATTTTTTACTGAATCCAAAATTGAAAGCTGATGGATTCAAAAGGGAAAATATTTCTGAATATTAAAAAAAATATGAGACATTCAAATATTTACATGGATACAGTGAAACTTTTAAGAAAAAGTATAACATTTAGATCGTATATTTTAATCTAATTATAAGTATATTTCTCTTCTTTTCGTTCAAATAGTGTTAGAAAAATACAATAATAGTGTTCTAATACTTTCATGAGATTATACGTTTACTAACATATTGATTGCTTATTGACATTTTGATTGACATTTGAGAGTACATTAAGAACTACTTTTTCAAATAATTGGCTTATCTATTTTTATCTATATTTATTTATCAACTTATTTCTGGGTTTTGCGAGTAAATTAGAATCCATAATCTGGAATAATAAATGTCCAAAAAAATGTTACAATGATACGTGTATATATATACTATTATATTATACTAGGCTGTACTATATGTATATGGCTATAATTAATTAACTTGCTTTAATAAACTCTTATTATGCGATAATGCTATTTCTAAGATAAATTTTTTAAGTTGTGGTAACATATTTTAGTTTATTTGATTTATAAGTGGTATCTATAAAACTTTCAGATATTTTTTATTTACATTCGTAAATATGAATTGTGTATGATATATGTGTTGCCTATGACTAATTTTTTTACTTATGCGAGATATCCATTAAATTAATGAGTTTATCTCGTTTGTTGTTGCAGGGGCTTTGGAAAACAGGGATATCAGTGCCAAGGTAAGAAGATCAGACCGATATTTTATCGGTTCCACTATTTGTCCAAGGTGTTCTTGAGAAGAAAAACTAGGAACCGTTTCGCTTGTGTTTCAGTCTGTAGTTTCGTCGTTCATAAACGATGTCACGAATACGTGACCTTCACATGTCCGGGAGCTGACAAAGGAGCTGACTCGGACGTGAGTACTGATGTTACATTTAATGCCGAATACTCTCTTCTTTTCACATCTTTCTTAACGCGCAGACTGTCTTGTCTTTTCTTCCTTTTGTCCTCAGCCAAGATTTCTCTTTCACAGCTTTCAATGAGTGTGATTTTTTGAATATAAATTTCATGTAAAATACATTTCCTCTAAAAATTTAATTTTCATAGATTTAACGAATATAAAATGCACCATATATGGAATTTAAGAACAGCGAATCTAATATCTATAATAATGATAAATTATTTGTTATAAATGTATTATAATTTTTTTATATTTAATTTCTTTTCTTTTATTAACTTTGTTTTATGAAAAAATTTTCTTTTTGAATATAATACTAAATCTTCACCTCGACAGTGCTGGGTCTTTTAAAGCACAGCTAATTTTTTTATTATGAATTTTAAGAAGATAAAAGCGCGAGATTTGGTATTACCTCTTAAAAAATTTTTGGTATAATAATGTTGAAATTGTATACAAGAATTCAGTTATTTGTTTTGTTACAAAGACGAATAAAAATTATGTCTGTATATTTAAGCACTGTTACATTTGTAAAAAGTAAGTAAAATACAACTTGGCTTCTATTATGATAAAAACTTGTTAAAAGTGTCATAATCTTTTTTTTTATAGTTTCATAATCTTTTTTATAATCCGAAATAATAAAAAGGTTTGCTGTGATCTGAACGATTTAGGTTGTAGATTATGATCAAAAATTTTACATTATCGGTAAAAGATTAACACCTCAGGTAAGTCCAAAATCGAGACACAAATGTCTTTTAGACGTCTGTAAGATGTTTTATGGCTCGTTTTTGGACATACGTGTTGTTTTAGACGCGTTGAATTGAAAAAAACGAAAATTTAAATGAAGTTTTTCTTAATAATATAAAAAAAATCTTTCAATTATATGTTTCCTCTATTTTTCTGAGTTTTTGAATTTTTGAATGCAATATTAATTTGTCTTTTTATACAAAAGCTGTTTTGGTTAAATTTTATATTATTGCACTACAACGAGAGTCCGAGGACGAGTCAAAACGTCAGAAGTATAACAAAAGTCTCTTTGTACCAGAAATAGGTCACTGAGAGTAGCTTGAGGGTTGGTCAAACTGGTCAGGAGAGTCAAATAACTGTTTGACATGTCAGCTTTTAAAGCTTCGTACCTCGAGTAGACACGTAGCTTATCATCGCAGTTCTTTGAGCTCTCAGAAAGTTGAGTGTTTCGTAAAAAGGGTACACGTTCAATGATAATACACTAAATATTAATAAAGGAAAGTCACTAAAGATATTTCCTACTTAAGATGTCGCAGATTAAATTTGCCTTTTGTAAATAATAGAAAATCAAAATCGCACACCAATGTTTTAATATCTTTATAAAATATTACAATCTGACAATAAATGTGTAACAAAGCTTTTCCTTGACATAGAGATTTAATACTTTTTTTTATAACGAAATTATGATAAAATAATAAAGTGTAACATAATTGTTAATTATAATATAATTATGTTACCATAACATAATTATTGTGAAAAAATAGAAATGATAATCCGCCGCTAAAAGAGCTACTATTTATTAAAAGAATAGCGCGGACAATAAAACTGAATTTTTCAATATTCTGTTTGATACTCTCACCACCCATTGTTTTTTTCTTAATTCTTGATTCAATTACAGTCATAATTTCTATTAAAACGTTATCAATTCTATAAAGTAGTTAATGTTGACGAAATACTAAAATTCTTTTTATATATTATAACCCTTGAACTACATTCGAGAGCGACAGTAATAAAATAAAGAAAAAAAGAAATGCGCGCGCGAGTACATGACGGTGGAATTTTCATTACATTAGTTTGAACCACAAAAGAGAGTCAAGTTCCGTGTTTGAACGTGGGAGAATGAGGTAAGTACATGACGGCGTTTCACAAGCGTGGCGTTCAACTGAGTGTGCACTAATTGGCTGCTGCACAGTCGCTGCTAAACGCGTGTGAAACTGTCTCATCCTCGTAAGGTGCTAAAGGGTTGGGGATGGGTGGCAGTACGTATAATCAATATCGAGGTCATTTTCGAAGGCTGCGATAAATCGCCGTCACCTTGTAAATGGATAATAATAACGTATACATAACGCGCGTCAGTAATTCGTTCAGTCAATTTGCCCATAAGAAGGTAGCCTTTATTAATCAGACGTGTATTAGAAGAAGCGAACTAATTAGGTTACAAAATCACTAGAGTAGAGTCCTTTGAAAATTGCAACGTTGCAGATATTCACATCATCATTTGCTAGAAAAATTTACCTTGTTAGGTAGTACACTTGTTTAAGTTATAAAGAGAGAACTCGTCCTCGGAATTATGATAATTAATACATAATTGATAATTGCACAAAGATATAAAATTATAGAGACATAATATATATTTTGATAGATGATGGGGGTAACAAAAGATTGTGAATCTAACAATAAAAAAATATATTTTTAATTAGGTGATTTGCTGCAGGTTTTAAATATTGCATTCCTTCCTTTCTGACTTTTTATTTATTTTTGTTTACTACGTTTGAATGAAATTTTTAGTATCTATTAATAAACATTTCAGCTTTCTCCTTTATTTGTTGATAAAAAGAGAACGATTAGTTCATTACAACTTTTGTGTTGGTATAAAAATTTTCAGTGTCAAGAAGATAAAAATTTCAAGATATAAGTATTATATGTAGCACCGTTCGGTAAGCTGTCTTCGAATTTCTTTACTGCCGAGATACGGAAAGTAATGTTTCTGTAAGAGCACAGTTTATCGCACTGGGTAGCCGTTGTATCCTTTTCATCTCTTAGCTGATGAGACTTAGCGTTGTTTAAAAAAAAAGCAACAAGTTAACGAGATCAGAACACCAAGAGATAAGAGGATAATGAAACAAGAGGATCCTTGGCTAGGGTAAAAAGAAGGGAATGAGAGAAACAACCGGTATCCGGGGGCTAAAAAGCTTCTTTCATATTTGTCTCGCACCGTGCTCACTGCCTATTGGCCTAAGCCACCGCGTCCTTTTGCGCTTCATTTAACCACGCTTGTAAGTCTGCGCAACGATTATCAAAACAACCAAATATATACATACAAGCGAATAATACGTCGGGTAATATTGTTTCCGATGTATTCGTCTGGGAGGGTAAAACGTTTCCGGCTCGAAACAATTTCCCCTCGTAAAAACAGAGTTACTTCTTCTCCGCCATTCAACCACTCAGGAAACCGATAAAACTTCCATGATGGTAAAATATACCTTTCTTCTTTGATCGAATAAATATGAGTAACGTGGGATACGTTGTATCCTCATCACAGGCTCGACCTTAACCTCTATAGTTATTTTAGCTTTGCAACGCCAAAGTTTAATCGAGAACATTAATATTAGAAAAAAGTAAACTTTAAATTGTTTGTGTTAACACAGGATTAAACACACCCCACGTTTCTCCCCTACAGTTAAGAACGTTAACCTGGGATGGTATTCTGGATGTTGTCATTTACTCCAGATAATGTAACTTTTAAAGATGATATCAAGGAAGATTTTGATATTCGAGTCGTAAACGTTTTCCCTTTGTCGCGTTAGGAAAAAGTTTTACTTATCTTTGGGAACTTTCAATGAACAAATCGAGAGTCCCCGCTATTTCCTTTTGATCCTGGGCGCTGACTTCTTGTCCTTCCTTCTACGCTTCTACGCTTCAAAGGTAATCCTTTCCACGCCTATTGATCCGCGCGAATATCGGCGATCGTGGATTTCCCCATATAAGGCGCATAATGCATTTTCATTGTTGGACACAAGCTGCGACAAAGGAGAAAAGCGCGCGCATGTGAGCGAGCGTGGATAGCTTCTTTTTCTTTATTCTTTCTATATAAGTCACACAGTAAACGTAGGAATAGAACCTGCGAAGATTTTTACAATATACATATATATATATATATGTAATATCAGCTTTATTAAATAGTATAGTGCACTAACGTTTCACGATATGTCATATTACCTTGTGAATCTATCGCAATACACACATTTGAATCGAACCTTTAAAACCGAATCTTCATTTAAGAGAAAGAGATTTTAATTTTTTATGAATTATTTTCACACAATTGTAGGTAGTTAAAAATTTTTTTAGTACACTGCTTGGATGAGAGGCAACTTCGAAAATTTGACTATCGAAATTATTGATATTTATATTATTATTATATCTTATGTAATATTTTTGACGTTAAATTATTTATAATGTTTATTTATTTTAATTAAGAAGTAAGAGTCATACGGTCTGAGCTAGATTTTAGAGCTTAAATAATTCGGTGAATTTTATATACAATCTTGCACACGGAAACCACAATTTATTTACAATTTTCAAGACTGAATATTGATTTCGGCGCGCAGTTAGCAGGCTTGAATATATGTATCTAGCATTCTCATTAAATTATTTAAGCACTAAACTCATACCGTATAAAGCTTTTATTTCTCAATTGAGTATTTATATTACAGTCTTAAAGATACTTTGTTTAATATTATCTATTTATTGAATATGATTCATTATTCCATTATAATAAAGAATACATCAAATTACGTAAAAAATGGATATTTATCAATTTTATATTCATATACGTTATAATTTCAATTATATTCATGACGTTATAATTTGTTTCTTAGTCTTCTTATTTTTCTTAAAAATGAAAATAAGAATAGATAATATATGCGATCAAGCCGAGATTTTATTTAAGATACCTCGTTACGTGAAAGTAATTTTTTATGCAAACATAGCTGTCACAATTGACGATTGAACATTTATCAACCTCCGCTTTGCGTTTCTGTTGAGAACGGTGACATCACTCTCCGTATGATAGTGCTTCGACTGGACAGCCGCGTAATTTCTAATAGCAAGGTTACTAATAATGAACTACTGAGGAACGGACTAATCGAGTTTGCGCCTCGACCGGTGAAACTTCTCGCCTGGCGAAGCGGAAGCACCCGGTTTCCGTGGTGGCCAGAAGCACCGGAAGGCTTAATGCACTGGTTGCATGCCAGATTTGCGACAACCGCCAAACCCCACGAAACTTCCTGTGCGAGCTTGTTCCGATTTCCGATCCTATTCTCGAACATTATTTAGGAAATAGCGGTAGTAACCGGCTTCAGAAAGTTATGAGAATACTGTTGTAGACTGTGTTTAATCAGAACGCTGTTTTTTAAATCCTGTTTGAATTTTTCGAAAAACACTGTCGATGATTTAAATGTCAACCTGACATTCGACCGTTTAACATAACAACACCAACTAAGGAAATCAAAGAAACATGTTCAATCGCTAAGCTTTAAAGAGCTTACAGATATTTCTAAAGTAGTACTTTGTTTTTAAGCAAAACTAAACTAGATTAGTAAACTTTTTTTTATTGGAAAATTTTTAAAGCTTGAGTAAGTTTAATGAACTTTGAAAAACTAATCTTTTCAATTTGAAGAATGATGCTTTGTTTTATTAAAGTTTGTTTTAACGTAGTTACACACTTAATCTTTCGATTTCGAAGAACATTTCTTATTTTAATTGACTTAAACATTTAAGTATGCAGTAACAATGATTGATGCGTGAGCACTATATTTAAAGGATGTGGTTTTATGCAAAAATCAATTATAAATAGTTTTTTAAATAAAATTTTGAAAATTATAAAAATTTTTATATATTAAGTAGAAAATAGATCAGTAAGAGTAAAAATTCTATTTTTTTTTGGTCGAAGCGAATCTTGGTGTTGATGTTCGTATGTAAATTTTTAAATATATTTTTCATTTTTATAAACAGTATAAACTGCGCATTGATTCGGTTTGTGGATTTAAAACGCTATCATAAGCTAAAGCTAGCAATAATATCACATTGACCGTCAATCCAATAATAATGCTAAATATTTTCAAATGCTTTAAAAAATTTTTTATGAGAAATGTATTTCAAAGTTTACATATGAATATTACGAAGAGAGAGAGAGAGAGAGAGAGAGAGAGAGAGAGAGAGAGAGAGAGATTTGTTTCGATTAAATATAAATTTTTCCTCTTATATTTTTTTGTCATTTTTGATGCTGACTGAAATGATATAAAAATAAATTGTAAAAAGATTTCCATTTGGAAAAATTTCAACAAAAAATTGGATTGTAAAATTTATATTTTTATTTGTTTGCTATTATTTCTTATGTAATATACTAAAAAAATTTGAGTAAAAAGATTAAATTTTTTTGCAATTACAAAGTTTGTAAAAAATTAATTTTTTCCAATATGTTTACATTTAACACAAAATAACTTGTAATAAGAAATAACTTCAAAATATATGTAAGAAGTTTTAGTTAAAATAAAGAGAGTATTGAGTAACATTTTACTATTTTACTATTAGGAAATTTTTGTAAAACTTTTAGATCACAAAACTAAAAAATGTGTATTATTAGTTGTAAGTCTATATGAACATAACATATTTTATAAATAGCGCGCTTCTTTGAAGTTTCTAGAGTTCAATATCAAAATTATTATAGTTCGACAATCAAAGTGTCAAAATACTAGATATTGAAAAGAATAACTGATGAACGAGTGAAGAAATTCTCATCACATATTCATTAAAAACTCTTTAAAATATATTCTGAGTTTTCCAAATAGATTCGAAGGACAGATAAAAATTAATGCTCTTTTCAGTAATTAGATTGAATTTAACCTCACTTGAAATGATTATCCTATAATAGATTCAGTAAGTCGATTTCAGAAATTTTTATTCGGTAAGTTTTAAATTTTATTAGGTCAAATGGCAATTGTTCGACCTTAAACGTATCGCATTATGCTTAACTAAACTGGGAAATCCGCCGATCTAGCCGATTTGTTCCTACCGTTATCACTATACATCACCATGGTCATAATTTTCCCTTTCTCCTCGTCATCATCATCAAGCCCAAAAGTCTGCGTGTGTGTGCACGGTGTAATGGTGTAATAACGCAGGACACGCGGACGAAGCACCAATTCAAGCAACACACCTACAACAGCCCCACCTTCTGTGACCACTGCGGTAGTCTTCTCTATGGTGTCATCCACCAGGGCATGAAGTGCCAAGGTATCATATGATGAACGAAAAAGAAAACAAAATCAACTGAAACGCACATTTCAGACTCAAACACGCAGAGACATTTCTTTTAGAAACAGTTATCCAATGAGGATGACATGTGCATATAACACACACAGCTACACGATATACAGTACACTAGTTACACGTTTTTCTTTTTCTTTCTGTTTTCTTGGCCCAGCGTGGTGTTGCTTTGTCTTCGTATTGTATTCCTGTATAGTGTTTCTTGGTCTCTATCTCTTTCTCCTTTTGTAAATAATACTCGCTGTAAATATTTCTGCGGCGTATCTTCGTCACAGGTGGATGCTAGAAATCCGATTAATCGCGTTAACAACGATCGCAGATGAACGCCGCAGCGGATGATTGCCCTCTCTGTTCGCTCGCGTTCCGACGTATCTGCTAATGCGATTAGCGGCGCTTTTAATTATGTACACGGTACATCCTTCGACGTGGATTTTGCACTGATATTGTATAGTCTGTTAGAGGTGGCTTTTGTGCGCATATTAACTGCGTCTCTCTGTCAGCAGGAGACGATTCACATGTGGCTGTGTACGTATGTACGCGTGTGATGTGTTATGTGTGAATTGTTACGTCTAAACTTGCATAAGAATTATGCACTGTGAAAGGGATACTATCTTATCACAGTGAACCGCCTTGCGTCGAAAAAGGGCAAGGAGAAAAGGAAAGAGAATATTATACGTAAAATTATAAGCAAAAATTCGGCGAAAAGACTTGCAAACAGAAAAGCGAAGGATAATACTAAAGAAAGGTCACATTGAAGGAAATGTGACTAGATCTTACGTTTCTTGTATCTCTTTCGTTCTCTTCTCGTTCTTCACTAGGGAGTGCACCTTATCAAATTTTTACATATTTTCCTTTTGTTGCTTTCCTCGAATATCACGTGCGTGACCCTTTGTGCTTAATACTTCCTACAATTTAATATCCGGCTCACACTTGCTCGAGATGTATATATCCACATCTGCGCTCGGCTCGGGACGTTAATGTTTCAAAAGGATGCTTTTCGTCGATAATTCATGGATGAACTTGTCTTTGAATATTTAGGCCATCAGGTGTTCTGAAGTACATGAAGGAAAAGCAAAAAAAAAAAAAGGAAAAAGGAAGTTTGCTTTGACAATTAGTACACGAGCCGAGCCGTGTCGAGAGCGCATTTACGGTCATCGATGTCGAGCGCGAGTTACATTTTTCTTTTTATGAAATTTCCCCTTCCATTGAAATTGTGTAGATAGTCCTTGTACAGTTATGGAGTGCAAAAAAATACTATTCAACAGGACTGTCAGTTTACCGCTGACCAAGTTTGCACCTATTAAATAATATCTATGCAATCGTTCTTTGTCTATTTATGATCTGTGTAAATGTGTATTGTTGCGCGCGTGTGTATGCGTGCATGATGGATGATAAAACTCTACATATGCCTAAGAAGGGAGAGATAACTAGAAGTCACGTTTATACGAGTATTTTAATATGTTAAATATTATTGTGTAATATTTATAATAATATTTAATGTATAATATTTATGAAAAAATTAGCAAAGTTATATTCGAAAAACGTAGTATTTTACATATATATTATATATTTATAAAACGTTCTTCTCTTTGCCTTTCTTTCTCGTGATATATTCTTAAGCGTATGTAGATTGATGATCTTCTTACCATTCTATGTCTTTTTCACTGTCACGAGTTTCTGCCGTTGCACCGTAACTGCACAAAAGTCGTGCACTTCTCTGCTGTATTTTCTTGATGTGATTTTCGCTGTATCTTCTCGATGTGATTCTTCAATGTATTTCCACAAGTCGTTGACGTCATTCTTCGTTTATCTCTTTTTTCTTTCTCATTGTTTGTGTGTTTGCCCTAAAACAATATGATGTTTTACATTTATTCACATTTGAAGCTATTTCCTTGATATTTCGCGATATTTTTGCGTGTCTTCTTAATGCGTGTGTCTTAATTTTCGACCCCATAAATTATCGTTTTCTCAAAATACATATTATATTTATCCACAATTTAATTTGTGACTCGGTCGTTGCTCGGTTATGATATTTACTCGTTTGTAACAGAAGTTTGCGGCTATGATTTTTCTCAGACTTATCTATTCTCTTAAAAGAATTTCGTAAGTATGGAACAACCTACCATTTACGAATTTATTGTTTACTCGTAGAAAAATTTATGTTTTTCCTTTGCATTAAGAAAAATTGACCAATAGCATTTTTTAATAATTTTAACTTTTAAGGAATCAATTAATTCCTTGATCGAGAATCTTTTAGTATTTTATCACCCTTTTATTCATTTTATCAGAGATTTAAAAGCAATAAAGTTTATCTAAATGGAGGAATCATATTATAAGTTTCAAGTAAGTTTTTACTTTCAAGTTGAAAAATAACTGTTTATATTATCACATAATTGTGAATCTCTAATTGACTTTATAATTTTACAATTAAATGCATATATATATTATATATTATATATACATAATTTAATGATGAAAGGTATAACGTACGTATAAAAATATACGTAACCATACTATAAAAATATACTTGACCATAATATAGCACCCTTAATTTATTGTATTTTCTTAAGAAACTTTAAATGCTTATATACCAAAATAAATAATTAAGATATAGAGAGGTGCTTATAAAACCGAAATTTAAAGCTTGTATTTTAAGAAAAACTTTTAATATCGATTGAGTGGGATTATTAATTTTCTGATAGCAGATGACAGAGTGAGGACCTGCAAAATTGCTATTGAAAATTTAGTTTCCACGGAGTTGCACGCGGAGTGAAATTGACATAATTTAATAGAATAAAAAATGTGTGAAAGTTCAAAGTTTTCTCTTCGAAATACACTTTTGCGGAACTCGATACAATAATTTTTCATTGAATTATGTTAATCTGAAAAAAAAGTAACAGCCGTGTGTAAAGCATCTTTAATTTTTTTGCATTTTCTTGAAAAGATGGTAATAAAATCTAAAGGAAAATTAATAAAATATTCAAAATATTATCAAAATAAATATTACTTTTCAACAAAACTATCTTTTATTATTTTTCATAACTATAAAACATTTATGTCAATTTGTGGAGGTGTTTTATACTTTTGATCAAGAGGCTATATAGATTAAACATTTCCATTTGTATGTGAATGAATGAATGAAGAGCATAATAGATACCTTATATTGCTATAACTTTTCCTTCATAGATTATCTCACGTGATTCGCTTTTATGCTCCTTGAGCACGTTTATCATTTCTTCGTCGTGTTGAGCAAAGCCATCGCGTTTCGCTAATCTTTTCACGGCGATCAGCGGCACGCGAGCCGCAATTTTGCACTTTGTCGATGCAGCGATAAAAGCAGCACGAATTAATTTAACCCTTACGAGGGGCGAGCTTAAAGGAGCATCTTTTGCGATAGTGATTATTTGATTAAATCCGATTAGCAGAAGCATGATGATTCGTGCATTCAGTTGTTCAAGCGACGGTTTAACAATTTATTGTGCAAAAATGAGACCAAAAAGAAAATGAGTATAGAAAAGAGGGATTGGCACACTTCCAGGATATATATGGCGCATTGTACCATCTAATTTCTTCATATCTAGCTACTAGGTCCCTTCGTTCTTCAAATTAGCTACATTCCGTTGCTATTGTCGTTTTTATTGTCGTCGACAAGGAAAAGATGAGAACAATGTCTCTGTATAAGTTTTTCAAGTATATATACCCACATTCTATATTTTGTGGTCGGAGTTCTTCAGATTGTTGAAAATGCTGCACAATTCGACTCTTTATAATCATTTCTGTTGTGAGAATTTCGATATTGTTCAGCGTTGTCGGTGTCTCTGTATTAATTTCAAATAATCTTCATCGCAGTAAGAAACTGATATTTAATACATGCAAGTATATTTTTGTTTTTACGTAAAGAATGCATCTTAAAGGACAATAGATGGATAGTGACGTCTGTCGTATTTTTATCAGGCCAGCGCAATAAATTATCTATAAATAAATTTAAATATAGAAAAATAAGTTTGTGTAAACATGAAAATAATATTTATAAAAGATAGATATAAAAGAATATTATGAAAATAGATTGGCGTTGTATATATTACCTACACAGAATTATATTTGCCATATTTGAAAAAAAAGCATTCCCAACAATTGTAAATAGAAAAGATCAATTAAGGAGCGTAAAACTTCTTAATGCAGTTAGAAAGTAATTATAGTGTACGCTACTTGGCTTATAATCCAGTTTTGTGGATAATTTGTTGACACTAAAAACGCGTTATGTATTTTATCTTTATATATTCAGTTACGTTTTTATTTCGCACGGTTTTAATGTTCATTGAGATATTCTATTTAAGCTTTCGGCTTTATCATATTGCATGATAAAAATGTCAATATAATTCGAGATTCCGTAAAACTTCTTTCTCTGACGATTTCTTCTTCGAACTAGACTATAATCAAGGGCAAGGCAGAGAGAGAGTGAAGCTCTAAGAAAGATACCCAGGTGCACTGAGGCGATATTCGCGGATGCATTCGTAAGACCACGCTGTAACAAAGATCTCGTTTTCTACGGAAAATGTCGGTAAAGGATTTTCTCGAAAGACGAGCTAGCATCCGAGACGTGAAGAAGAGGGAAAGAGAGAAGCAAAAGATTAACGTGGAAATTAATTAAACGATTGAGTCTACGGCCCGGAAGAAAAGGCTGGAAAACGGAAGCGAGAGGCCTGACGTCGCACAAAGGTCTTTTGTGCATCGCGAAAAAGAGAGAAAAGTGCTTTCCTCAAAGAAGCCTCCATACAGATGCTATTGAATTAAATTTCATCAGTATTTATTTGAAAGATTCAGTATAGCTTATATTTATAAGATCTTGTATATCTTGTATTGTAGATTTTTATTTGTGTTACTTCTACATTACGAAAGAGAACATAGAAAAATATGTTTCCTTAGCTTGAGATTAAAATAATATAATTTCTGTTTATCTTATATGC